CCAAACAGGAAAAAAATTCAAAGAAACAATACTAAAGTTGGTATTACTATTATTCCAAATATAATTATTTTTAGACAAGACAAATGTTCTTCTTTTTTAAGTTTTAAATCAGAAAAAAAAAAAGAAAGAGAAAGACAATAAAATAGACTAAAAAAAACTAACTTTGCATTTGGCGTAATGAAAGTATAATGAAGATGCAATTGTAACCAACACTTCTGGAGATAACAAAACAGCACTTCGACCCACCTAAAACTGCACATTATCGTCAGTAATTCATTCGCAAAATCTTTACAACACTGACCAAACACCTCTTAAAGTTACATATCCCTTGCAATATAACATACAGTTTTTGTAGAAATTTAACATAATTTAACAACTCAACTAATTCAAAATTGGCAATTTTTTTCACAATAAAAATCATTTTTGAGCGTCATTTAGTTAAATAAAGTAAAAAAAACAGGAAAAATAAACAAACAAATAACAGCAATAACGATAAAAAAAAAAAGGTAGAGAAGAAACTTAATCGACTATAGTAAACAACAAAAAAGTGATAAAAATAAAGATGAAACAATAAAGATTACAATCAAAAAAATGTGATCTTTTCTTCTCCATCCATCCCTCCTTTTGCAAAAATGACCAGTTTACCGTTTCTTGAACCTTCCAATCTTTGATAACCCTTCTGTCTTAGCGGCTGTTAATCACTGTTGAACAATAACGGAAGATTAACAAAACTTTTTTTTCAAAATCAAAACTTAATTGCATTTTATTCTACAAATCGTACAAATGACCAATAAACAGAACTCAAAAATAGACGAATGATAGAAGCTTCCAATGTACTTTTTTCTTCTACCTTTTAAAAGGTGGCCTACAAAAAAACGTTGGTAAAAACCTCAATTAATTTCAATTATCAAAAGACAAACAATTGACATTGATAAAAAAAAAAGCGCTCAGAAGTTCGCGAGATTGAAGAAAACCAGTCATTCTACAAATCTGGCTTTTCTTGTTTAAAAAATAAATGAAACCAAAAAATGCTCAGTTTTCCTAAATTTCAAATTGTTCTCACACTTTTCCTGTTTAAATTAGAGCTTGAACTGAAAAGTTTTTGATTTTTTTTTGGGGGGGGCTAATTTGTTTGAAAAACTGTTATACAATCCAAAAGCCAATCTTACAACCGCATTTACTCTGTTTACAAATACTCTTAGCACGTTCTACGTTTTGTTCCTCAACTCTTTGTTCATTTTTAGCGCAAGGTAGTTTTATAAATTAATCGGATGATTTGATCAGACAAACTTAATTTCCTCAAACAACAGTTGCAACAAGCTGGAGCAATCTTGTCTTCGACAGTTTCTGCTGCGCAAGAAATGTCTGATCTGGTATACCACCTCCTCAACAAACAGCTGAATCTCGTTGTTATCGAGAAAATGGTGTAAAAATAATGACAAAATTAGATACAGTTTGTCATTGTCATCAGAGTAACTGTAAACTTTTCTTACTGTTTTTTTTCTGCTTTTTCATAAGAACCCAAGCTTTTATTTATAAGTTTTTTCTAGCTCCGCAAGAATACTCTTTAATTGGGCAGTGATTATACGAGAGCATTAATCTCTTTTATTTTATTTTCTTTACTTCTATTCTTTTTTCTTTCTTTTTTTACAGTTGTAGGATATAAACAAAATAGAAAAATCTTTTTTCACTTCTTTCCAATGTCTAATAACTGCACTTTTTAACTGCTGAAACTTGAAAAGGTTTCCTCTTAGTTTAGCATCAAAAAAGACCATTACAGTGATACATACCATAAATTTTACAAAGCAATAAAAGGAATCAAAATATTGATCACAATGAAATAACAATATTTTGTTCGTGATCTTAGGTCTGTCTGTTTACGTAAACAAATGTCAAAACCATTTTGTTGGAAAACACTGTTCACATTAGTATACCGATTGGCCAAAAACGAATTTTGCTATTAGAGCTTACAACATTGATAGTACAGCGTTAATAGTAACAGCAGTAATAGCAGTAATGCAGAGTAATAAAAAAAAATAACCTACCGATGAATTCAGCAATGCTTTGAAGCAATGCAGTATGGCAACAGCCTGAAAATCACGACTTGAACGATTTCGGCATTGCTCCAGTACACTTCTCAAACTTTCAACACCATCAGATTCCACAAATTTTTGCACAAAACTAAAAAATTATAAACAATATTACAAAATACAACTAAAAATTCTTTCTCTTTCAAATTTTTTCGGCTATCTAAAAAATAAGAGTTTGTCAAAAAATTTGATGTTGCAGAACTGACAGTAAATTTTACATTGAAAAATAAAGAAAAAATAAAAGGTGTGAAAGGAGTGAGATAAGACAACCTGTGTGACTGGGTTCGCAAAGAAACGGCTAAAGCTTCTAGATGACTAAGCGTTACATCATCTTCCAAAAAACTGCTTTCCAAACTTTTCAGTATTTGTACATATTCGGCACAAGATTTAAAATCACCAATTTCATATTTGCTCTGCAAAAAAAAAAAGTGAAAGAAAAAACAAACGACGAAAAGCTTATGTGAAAAAGAATCCGATCAAAACCCGAAAAAAAGTGTGGACGAGTAAAAAAAAGACGAAGAAAACATGACAAAACCGATGGGCCAGTCTTTAGAATCCACTGACACAATAAAAAATTCGCTTTTATGTGTCGTTTTTTAGTAGTTGTTAAGTAAATTCTTTAATGAAAAAAAAAAAAGTGAGCCTTGTCTTGCCAACTCCCCTCTCATCTCCATTTCTGAAAAAGTCTGTCTCCTTTTTTTTCTAAAATCTATAATGTACACTTTGCTAACTGTTTGATTTTCATTTATCTTTTTACATTTCGTTAAAGATTGTCAGCGAGATGTTTTTGTTGGCCTGACCAACAACAGTGGCAAGGGGTGATACAATTCAATATTGATAAATTCTAAATTTTTCTGTTTCTGTGTTAAGGACTTACCCGGACTATACTCTGTTCGGTCAACATCAAACGTTTTTTCTCCAACGGTTGATCATAAAGCATTTTTTCTTGCTCAGGGCTGAGATCAAGTTCGGCCTAAATTTTTATAAACTAAATTGCGTTCACAATGCGTCGTTAAGTTTACTGGTCAATCAAATAATAATCGCAAATTATACTTAATACTTTCTGCTAAATAAATGAATATGCAGCTTCGGTGATGTGTAACATTTTTTGTACTTGAAATTGCTTTGTTTTGCTCATTCGTAAATCAACTACCACAGAACAACTTAATTGTGTCAACCATTATTTTAATACCGAATCAAAAGTATATGATTCTACTTGATATTTTCCATTTTTCCTTTGCTTTTCCTTCATTCTTCTACGTTCCTGTGTTGCCACAATTTTTCCAGTTTTAAACAATAAATTGCTTCTTTTAAAAATCCGAAGTAAAACTTTAACCAAGTTTTTTAATTCACTTAACTAACGAACACACACCCACGCACACACCCATACATATAAATAAATGTACGCATAAAAATATATACAGTGAGTCTGATCGGTTGTTCCTAAAACCAGAAAAAATTTTGCTAAACTAAACCAGTAACTCGCAAATACGTTTGGATCTGTTTGTTTGTTTGATGGTTATTCTATGACGATAAACCAGAAAGTTACAATTTGATTGAAACAATACCAAACGCAGTTAGAAATTGACAATGCTTTAATAAACGTAATTTTTAAGTGACCAAGGATCATCAAACAAGATGCACAAATGATCAATTGAAAAAAAACCACTATATTTAAGAAATAAAGTTTTTTCCCAAAGAAAAAAATACAAAAAAATGAGGTGCTTAAAGCAACCAAATAACCATAGACGTGTAGTTGTTATTTGGCGGCGGTTACAAATGATCATTGAACTAAAACCCAAAAAAGTTTTCTGAAGACTAGAGCAATTTCCTATACTTCGCAAATCTTTTAGAAGTTCTGCAGGAAAAAGAAATAAAGAGTTTTAAGCAAAAGTGGAAAAGAAAACTTTGAGTATAATTTGTTATGTAATTTGATCAATCGAGTTCAACAAACTGTAAGTTGAAACTTGACTAGGTAATACAGAAAAAGACTAGGCTGGTGCAGCAATAAAATACGCGCAGCTAATTTTAGGTAACATCATCAGCTTCTCTTTACAGCTCAAATCAGTTACTTAATTAAAAAAGAAGAGTAGAAACTGAAAACTTTAATTTTTGATACTTTATAAATTAGCAACATGTTTGCTACTTCTTTTATTTTCAACTTATTTCTTATATCTGACATCATTCCTTAGCAGAAGAAAAACCATTTTCTGACTGTTAATAAGTTTCTGATGACAATAAAGTAACTCAATAAAACAAATAAATTTTTTTTTCTTAAAAGTTGTTGAATTTATCTGAGATCTTTAAAAAATTTTTGCTTTTGAACATTAATTGAACAAAATTGAAAAATTTTCTGAACCTAATGATATACCTGGTGTGTACTATCAATGGTACATTCTGGAATCTGCTGACATCAGCCCAATTTTTTTCTCCTAATTTAAAGCTTTTTGCTCCTATGTTGCTGTATTCACTATAGTCAGATGGCGAAATACTAATACTGCAAAACAACTGAATGATCAGCTCAAGAATTTTGCAAAAAAGAACTGTGAAATTATACCAACAACAGTGACAATCTTTTGAACCTAAAGTACTTGATTACACTTCGTTGCTTTTCTTCATGCCTTTTCAAAAACCAGTATTCTGCTGGCTAAAACTTTAAAGCTTCCAAATACAAAAAACACTATTTTCTTTATTGCAAAAACTTTAAAAAAAGTACCTCCACTGCTGGCACTATAAATGAAAAAGTAGTGACGTAGGTGAGTTTTACCATCAAATCTTCAATTAGTTTATGAAAAGACAATTTGTAAAAGAAGTAAAGAGTAAGTACAAAATTGTTTTTTATGCTTTAAACAAAACGTTTTTTACTATGTTTTCAGCTGTTGTATTGAGATAAAAGAAGCACTGAGGTGGAGAAGCAATAACCAATGTTTATACGGTTATTTTTAAACGTTAAACAACCAAACTTGTTCCAAACTTATAAACCAAAACTCAAATTAAGCAGTTTTTTCTATTTTACTGTCTGTAGCAAGTTTCTCCTTCTTCTTCTTGCTCAATGATGAGAGTGGTCAATCGATTGAGGTTTATAAATATGTAAAAAAATAGCACAATTGTAGTTCAGCTATTCTTTAGAACATATAAAAAAAAGACAGGGGGTATACAAAACTGACAAAAAATTTTAAATTAATATCAAAAGCAATGGTAAGTTCAGAAATTTCAAACCTCATTAACATGCAAATACAAACTGATGAAATTCACTAATGCCGTTGAAAAACTGTTGTGTGTTTAACTTAAGCAAGTTTTACAAATAGCAAAAATGAAACAATAAACGATAGTTCCGGCGAAAAATCCAAGAAGAATTCAAAACATCTGATAATCCTCTTAAAAAGGAAATTACAACATTCATTTCCTAAACACTTCACCTCTTTCAGTACCTTACGAAAAGCAGTTTTGTAGCCGTCTATAATCCACCTTTATGACTGCTATTATAATAATTTGCATCAAAGTCTACTTTTTCTTCGTATTCTGATTAACTAATACAAGTACCGCATCAAAATCAGTAATTGCCTCCTTCGTCTGAGCATAGGTTCTTCAGTTTTAATTTTTCTTATCGTTTCATGTCTTAACTACTAAACTGTGCCGATGAAAACAAAAACAGTAGCAAAAGAACTTTTTTTTTACAGAACAATCTGTAGCATTGGTGTAAGTATCGCTAACATTGGGCAGAAAAATGCTATATATATCAATATTTATATACTTCAAAAAAAAATTAAGTAATAACGAAAAAAAAATTAGCACAAAAATGTTAAAGACAAGAAAATTGAAAAAGTGCTTACGACAAAACGAGGAAATGCTGCATCCACTTGAATTCTGTCCAATTCAGCAATATCCAATGGAACCAACTGACCGGTTCTAAACGACATTTTTTGCACACCCGGTTTGCTATCATTTACCTTCTCTTTGTTAGGTCCAAGTTTATTAAAACAGCACAGGGTTCGTTCAATTAACTCATCGAACATCGTCTGCAATTAATAGTCAACAATAACCTTTTCTATAATAAGTCTTTAGTGATAAATGTGAAATTTATTTACTAAGAAAATTTTTACAGCCAGAAAATAAGCCCAAAAAAACAACCAAATGTCATTATTGCCGTGTGATTATTGAAACAATTATAAATCCCTAAGTTTTAAAAGTTAATTCAGTTAAATAACTGACTGGTAATCGAACAGATGGAATTGTACGACTTAGTAAACACCACCACCAAAAACCTAGAAAACAGAAACGAATAAAAATAGCGACTCCTTCTAGAACATTTACAGATCCATTGGTATGTTAGCAGAAAAAAGTTAATACTGAATATTATTAACAACTAACTTTTTCATAAAATTTGTTACGTAAACGAAGAAAAAGATATAAGTGCAATAGAAATTTTTCACGGAAACTTTCAAATACGTTTTTTTCTGCTGTTTTTGCGGCGAACGAACGAAAACGATACAGAGATGAGGGACAGGTGAAAAACGGAAAAGTACTGAAAAGGTCAACAGCAAATTGATTTTCATTCAACTATCCAGTTCTTTTTAACTTTTTAAAGTTCAAAATAATGCGTATAATTTTGTGCTTGTATTGGTAGATGTGCTAAAGAACAGAGAAGATAAAAGACAAAATTACAGAAACTTATCAGTAATCTAATGTCACAACAAACTTAGCCTTTGAGTCAAATACAATAACCATTAAAAAATCCTTCTTCTCCTTTCCTCTTCCCTAAGTTTTCTTCTCCCTCAAGTGTTCGAAGAAATCGTAACAACGCAAAAGAATTTCAAGAGCGACCGATGAACGAAAACAGACCAGACAGATTGGAAAAATTTAAGAACTTATTTAAAAAAACCAGGTTTTTTTGAAAGTTATGGAATAACAGGAATGTTTCAATTTCAAATTAGTTATAATAGGGACCAGTCGAATAAGAGGAAAAAAAAGAAACAAAAAAGTATCAACGACATAATGATAGTTTCCTAAGCTCTTCAAATTTAGGCACTCTTTGTCTACTCTTCATCTTCCTCCACCTCCTCTCCACTCCCCACTACTAAATCTTAGTCCAATAATTTTAGTAGTTCAAGGAAAGCAGAAGCTTGACTTAAATGCCCCTCAAAAATCACAGAGAAGAAAATACAAAAGCGGAAAGAAAAACGTAGGAACCAAATTAAAATAAATTCAATTGCTTTTTTCTTCATCCTCAGCTCTTTTCTCTACGAAAAAAGGCAAATCGACAACAACAGCATTAGAAAAGAAGGAAGTTTGCAGAGGAGAAACAACAGTAAAATAATTGAGTGAACGAATAGAGAAATAATAAAATTTCTCAGTCCTTTATTTTTTTACTTGGCTAATTTACATAATCATTTTGATGACTGTTCCCTATATGTCTTTCCACCTGACGAAAAAAAA